TGGCCTGGCTTCTGATCAATAGGTCTAACTCTGTCTCCTGCACTTTTGGTACAGTATTTCAGTGAGACTAGAGAGCGTTTATACTGAGGAATGGTGTTTTCTTTAGAAGGCAGATGATGTTCAGGTTTGTATAAATTTCATTCAGAGGTTTAGTTGAAAAAAAAAAAAGAAGGTAGAAAATATGTTTGGAAGTATGATGTCAGCATCTAGATATTTTATTTGAAGGAGGTTATGTTCTAGAACTTATTGAGAAATTTTGAAGATATAGACACACCTGAGATTTCTGTCAGATGAGATGCATTTTGCTTCAGAACCCTTTCTTAATTATTTGTTTTATATGCAATTAATGATTATGTTTGTGTGGTTGAAGCACCATTTCTGACTCAGGAGTTACGAAGCTGCAAATTGTTGGTTGCTGAAAGGTGTGTTGTAGGCAAAAGTACATCTAATGCTTACCTTATTCTTTTTTATGTTTTCCTAGGCATCTGCTTCCTTAGGTATAATATATATTAGAGACTGAATGTTGGGCAAGATGGAGTTGGTCTGGCTCAGTATGATTAGTGTTACAAGTACAGAAGAAGTATAAAGGGAGAAGCGTAGTGATCCCATGCTCTGTGCTGAAAAATATGTGTTGGTTTTGTGTGTCTTGCTTTTGTTTTAGGAATTAAATAAATTGTTGATGTTATTTAGAAAGGTATTGTTATATTGTGCAGAATCATTGTTATTGTTGTTGTCCAAAGAAGCCATAGTCTAAGTAGTCTTTTCCTCTGAAATGATGGCACTTACCACTGTGTGTGTCTGTCTTTGTGGAATTAATTGTAAGAAAATAATTTTAAATAACTCCTAGAAAAATAAAGGTGAAAGTTGAAGACGTAATGAAGGAAAAAAAAAAGGGAAAAAAAACAGTAATAAAATTTAAAAACTACTAATTACAATCTGAAGCGATGTAAGATTTTATAGTCTTGCACTGGTTAAAGTTACTACCTTAATTTGTAGGCCTTGCTTGTCCTAGGAAAACAGTGCCTCAGATTTGAGTGATAAAGCTTTATGGGAGAGAGCTGTTTCGGAAAACTGTGTCCAAAGTTCCATCATGTATGCCTCTGTGTCACATAGTCCTGTTTTTCTTTGTGTTTGACATAGCATTAATAAGTTATAAAGAACACTGATTTCATGAAGGAGCCAGCGCTGTCTTTAAAAGTTGTTTTAGTAAAGTCTGAAATGTTATCTGATCCTGGCTTGGCATTCACTAAGTTGAATAAGATTTTGTAGCGATGATAAGGTGGAGGGATAGGGTCTGAAGTAAACATTAATATTGCTATGGCAGAATTATTTTTGATCAGAGATGGAAGATGAACATTTCTAGTTTATCTTCTGTCTCCTGTGCTAACCTACTCTAAGACTTTAAATACAAATGTCTGTTTTTCCCTCCCTATCAGAGTCCATTTTGGTACTAAGATAGAATCTGACAGTGACATGTCAGCTGTACCTGAAGGCTGGTAGGGTGCCAGCTCTTGGTCAGGGTAAGCAAATACTGAAAGTTTTTTTTGGCTGTGAATGTACACCTCATGTTAGAAGAAAGAGCGTTCATGTATTTTAAGTGATAATAGTGTAAGTAATTTAACTTAAGTAGCTTTTAGACATAATTTTGTCTACAAAACACTGATGCAACACAGGAATTTTGTCAAAGCGTCTTTGTTGCTCCTGTTCCTAGAGTGGTGAAAGGTGAGAGTCACTGGCTAATGCTGGAACAGAGATAGTGGCCTTTTTTGTGGACAGTCAATGTCAGATAGTGTACTTCTGTTAACTTTTAACTGCCCTTGTCTGAGACAGAATTTAACTAAAATTCTAGAGGCAAATTTTTTTTCTCATGTTTTACAATTAATTTTATTATCCAAGGGAATTAATGGATGCTTGTTACTACAGAAGACAGAAAGTGCACAATGAAGCTGGGTTTCAGACTGAAATTTAGTAAGAAACTATCTAGTATTTGTTGGTGGAGGAAATCTCCTGACTAACAAGGGGGAAGGTGTTGCAAGCAAATGCCAGTTTTTATACAGGACTAAGTTCAACTTCCAAGAAGTAGCCATGATAGAAAACTTGTAATTGTACTTGTGGATAAATTTGCAAAGTATTCTTACTGAGAATTAAAATGAAGGTTGTAATTGTTGTGGTTGATATGGATCAGGGATTTCATCAATCGCCATCTTATTTTTAGTTTTAGCCAAACTATTTAAATTAGCATAAAAGACAGTGTGTTGTTATTTTTAAACCTTAAGCATGCATTATTTTACTTTTTTGTTTGTAAAAGACACAACCGATTGCCATGCCATTGCTCACTGATGACATAGTGAGGAAAGAAGGACCAATTGTTGCCAAAAGTACAGACAACTGTCTGTTATGTAGAATAATGGAAAAGGTCAAAGTTTCAGTACCGCTGGCTCAGCTCTGGCTGCTGAAGGATGCGCTAACTGAAGTACGGCATTAGGCGTGAGTGAACGGTGTGGCTTTGCGAGGCTGTATGTGAGCTCTCAGCCTGGGGAGCTTATGGCTCGGGTGAGCACCATGCAGGCACACTTTGGCTGGAGCTGGTCCAGCTCCAGCAGAACTGGCAATGAACTGAAGCAGTGGAGACCTGGAACTAAACTGCCTCCATGCGGTCTGCTTTGTGTGTCTCTGGACTGTGCTCATCAGCTGTTTTCAGATTTGGGAATGTCGTGTAGGCACACCTTCAGCTCAGGTACAACTCCACTTAGGCTCTGTCTTTCAAAAAAGCAGTTACGATGCCTCAGACTTGAGGCTGGCTTTGGAAGCAGTACAGCTGCTGTGCTCATGGACTATGATTACTGAAGACCGTCTTGGCCTGTGATGGCTCTACACAAGGCATTCAGTTCAGGTGTCCTACCACCTGTGGCACAAGTATTCTGCCTACAGATGACTGAGAGCTGGCTATATTAAAAGGATAAATAACAAGCAGGAAAAGTACAATGCATGGTTCTGCTATGAATTTTTCCTTGCACCCCGCCCCGTCTCATTTGCTTGTATTTATAAGGTATCCCCAACTAAAAACTGAAATTCTAGAGTAATGAAACAATGTTAATTGATATAAGCAGGGTACAGTCTCATTGATCTGTTCTCATGTTTTGGCCTTTTTAGTTGGGATGCTGAGGGGATTCTGCCATTATGGTGTTCGTCTCAATTTTTGCTTCACAGTTGACATGTTTCCTTTATGAACAAGATTTAAAAACCAAGAATGTCTCTGATTGTTAGCTATACTAGTCCTAAACATGATTTGGAACAATAGTAGACTGAAAGAAAAATAAAGTGATTGGTTGACCACCTGCTATATCTTAGTGCTAGATGTTAGCATGGTGTCTACCCAGAATTTTTCATATTTTTGTTGATTATGACCATTTTTTGTAATCAAATAAGTTTTCTGATTCCGTTTAGAGAGAAGAGGCAGTGCTTTTTTACTTTATCTGAGAGAACATATAGAATTGTAACTAACTTCCATTTAGTATTTCCCTATACTGCTTTGCTCTTTTCCTTGCATCAGGCAGTACAACTGATGTGTTAGCATTCGAGTTGTATATGGCAGTGTTTAATTTTTCCTCAGAAATACTTTGAGAGCACATAACCATAGAGATTTGTTTTTCTGCATTTTTGTTCTGAATTAAGAAACTAATTAACTGTAACCTGACTTGTAGGTTTTTGTAGGACAGAGAAACTCATTCATAAATACAAGCCATCAACTTTAGGACGAATAATTCCTAGTAACTTTTGGCGATGAGATGTTTTGCTTTGTCTTTCTCTTCTCTGCAGTCTTGCAAGTGCTGATATGGATAATGAATCTTTCCTGGCAGATAAGTTTTTATAGGAAATCTTTGTTTCCTTTCATAAAACTAAGTAGTCTGAGGCATTCCCTGAGGGATGGTGCTCATTGCTGAGGCATATTTTGTGTTTTGTGGGTTAAGGTGAATATCAGATGAAGCAGGGATAGGAAACAAAGTCTGTGTACTATTCTGTGCCCATTCTCCTTCTGTTTGGTGAATAATGGAAACTGCTTGTGCATTCCCTTGTGCTGTGCAGCCCTGATCTGATCTATCAGTGTTTAGATAATCTTCCATTCAGCTGTATTGTAACTCTCAGTTTCCTCTTAACACTTTTATTTATTGTTATCCTCTGTGTACCTAGCTTTTCTGGGGCAGAAATAGAGAGGGAGTCTATTTTCTTCTGAAGTGGAATCTGTTTCTTCTCCACCTACCCTCTCTATTTCTTCACTCTTCAGCAGGGACTCTTCTTGTCCTATTCAAAAGGTTTGGAAGAAAGAGTCCCAATGGCTTCTATGAGATTAGCTTTGGTTCAGCA